AATATAGATAGATAGATAGATATATTTATTGCCGGCCCAATTGGGGATTACAAGGCGCTTTTTTTTTAAAGGAGCGTTCCCAAACCTTATTCCTTCCTTCCTTTTTCCTTAGCCTAAACTTCCTAAAACTTATCTCTAATTACATTATTTCGCCACGCCTCTCCTTTTCGCCGCCTTTCTCATCTTTTATCGCATCTTCCCCTACCTACACACACACACACGTCCGCCTTTCCCTAACCTTTCTTATTCTAAATTATCTTAACCTACGCAATCTTACATTCTACTTATCCTATGTTGGACCTCCGCTTCCGGTTACCGTTATTCTTCCACTCCTGTCCTCTCCCTCCCTCTCTCTCTCTCCAACTCACCACACTCACTCACCCTCTCCCCCTCTCTCTCTCCCCCTTATCTCCTACCCTCTCTCATCCCCCTGTCCTCTTTTTTCCTCCTTCTCCTTCTCCCCCCCTTTCCCTCTTGCTTCCTCTAACCTTTTAAACCATATTTCCCCTTCCCCCTCCTCTCCTAATATCTCCTTTACCATTTCCTGCCAGCTCTTTCCTTCCCCAATCCATACATTCCTCCCACACATGCTCCCACGTCTATCTAATCCCTCTCCACATATCCTGCACTTCCTATCCTCCTCCTTTTCCCAATACCTATTTCCCTTCATTTCATTTCCAGTCTGTACCTTGCCATCCTCCTCCATCTACCTTCCGCCCACCCTTTCTTCAAATAGCCCGGAATCCCCTCCCCTTTAATCTGTTTGTACCACTTATTATATTCCGATTTTATCATTTTTTCCTACCCTCTCCTCCCTCTGTTCCTTTCCTTCCCATTCCTCAACTTCTTCCCATCTGAACTCCCCCTTTTCCCTTCTTCCTCCTCTATCTCCCTTAATCCCATCCCCCTTACCCTCAAAAAATTCCCTTCTTTCTCTCTCCACCCTGACAATTCCCCTCCTTTTTTTGCCCTTTCTTTAATCTCCCCCAAACTATTCTCGCCCAACCATCCTCCCTTACCCTCCTCTAACCTTCTCTCATATCCCCATGCTCTTCTACCATCCTGTCCTTATCTTTTCCCTTTGCAAATTCCTCCCTTACCATATATCCAGGCGTTCCCTCCCCAGTCCACTCCTAACATCCATCTCAGATACCTTTCTTGTTCCTTTCCAATCCCTCTCTCTCTTCCCATCCCCATATCTCCACCCCGTATCCTAAAACCGTCCATATTACGCATCGAAGAGCCACAACCTCCTCCCCCAGTTATTCCAAATCTCCTCTTACCTATTCCCCATACCTGTCCCATATTGCTGCCCCTCTCTTTATTCTGTCCCTTACCTGTCCCTCTTGCCCCCCATTCCTTTGAATCACATATCCTAAATATTTGTACTCCTTTACCCTCCTCTAATTTTTTTTCCCTCCAAAACCAACTAGCCTTTTTTAACCTCCCTCCCCCCCTTCTGCATCTCATCACCTTCGACTTCTTCTCATTCATCATTCCAGTCCCTTCCCCTCCAGATATCTCCCTAACCTCTCCATCATACACCTCATCCCCCCCCTCATCTTCTGCCAACAGCACCACGTCATCCGCGTACGCTAATGTATAGACCTTGCCCTCTCCTAATCTCACACCCCCCCATCTCCCTTTCTCCATTTCCTCCTCCAAGTCCGCCATCAACATGTTAAACAGAAGCGGGCTCAGTGGGCATCCCTGTCTCACCCCCCTCCCCGTCCAAAACTTCTCCCCCACCTCCTCCCCTATTTCTAACCCTGAACCCTATCTCTCCTAACACTTCCTCGCACCTCCTCACCGTCTCTTCCTTCACCCCCCCCCCCTTAACGCCGCCATCAACTTCACTCTGTCCACCGAATCAAACGCTGCTCTCAGGTCCACAAACAGTAGAACCATTTGCTTTCCTTTCCTACTTATTTGTCTGTTTATTAAATAATTTAATACATAAATATTGTCCACTGTTCCCATCCCTTTCCTGAACCCCGTTTGATTCGGTGGCAACATCCCTTTTTCCTCTATCTCTCCCCTCAATCTCTCTGCCAACACCGTCGCATATACTTTGTATAAAGACGGTGTCAGAGTTACCCCCCTGTACTCCGAAACCTCCTTTCCCTCACCCCTCTTCAAGATTGGCACCACCAGCCCCTCACTCCACTCCCTTATCCACCCCTCCCTTCCATATCTTATTGCACAACTCCCATACCCACTTCTCTATTCCCTCTCCTCCAAATTTCCACACTTCTCCCGGAATCCCGTCCACCCCCACCGCCTTTCTTTCCTTTATCCTACCTATCGCCCTCCTAATTTCTCCCTTTTCTATCTGATCTTCCCCTCTCTCCTTCTCGTCCTTCTTCCTCCCTTATCACTCTCGATTCTACCCCTCCTAATAGATCTCTAAAATATCTGTTCCATTCCTCCATCTCAATCCCCTCTCCCATTCCTCCTTTTCCTTTTCCCCTTTCCCTCCTAACCACCTCCCAAACCTGCCCTTCCGTCCTCGCTTCCATTGCTTTCTTCGTCCACTCCTCATTCTCCTCCTCCTTCTTCTTTCTACATAATCTCTCATACTTCTTTTTTCTTTTCCTGTATTCTTCTCCTTTCCCCCCTATCCTCCTCCACCTTTTTAACTCCTTTACCACCTCCCCCTTCTCTCTTCTACACTCCCCTATCAAACCACCCTCTCTTTTTTTCTTTCTTCTCCTTTCCTTCTCTCTCATTCCCCTTATCTAACACTTCCTGTATCTTCTTTTTCTTCTCCTCCCACTCTCCCTCTACCACCCCTCCTCTTCTTGTTCATCCCTCTGCTTCCCCCAAATTTCCCCTATCTTCTCCCTAAATTCCTCCTTCCCCTCCTCCGTCCAGTTCCATCTCCTCCTCTTTTTTCCTTTCTTTCTCCTCCTCCTCCTTTCCCTTCTAACCACACTATTAACGGCATGTGATCCGAGTCCATCCTTTCACCTATCTCTAACTTCCTGATTTCCTCTCTTACCTCCTCATTACCTATTATGTAATCTATTACCGATTTCCCATTCGGTCCCCATATATGTCCACCCCCCTTCCTCATCCCCTGCTATTCCTCCATTTATTATCGCCCACCCCTTTTCCTCCAGCTTCTTCACCAACCTTCTCCCTTCCCCATTTACTTTTGTATCTCTTGATTTTCTCCC